ACCAGGAGAGCTCTTGGAGCAAGGGAGTTTTCCAGGCCTTTGACACCAAGCCACGGGGCTTCACCTCTGCTCATGGATGATGGCACTTTTGTCCAGAAACGCAGGGAAAAGTGGGCAAACCACGGGAATCTGTTTCAGTTCGATTGCCACTCATTTTCATGGAAAGTTTGTGCTTCTTCAGCTCTAGCTGAGACAGGAACATGGGAATTATCTTGCCATGGACCTTGTGCCTCATTGTGCATGGATGTGCAGAGGGCAGAGAGATGTCAGTGCACAAGTGCTGCTCTCACGGGCTTCTCCTCATCTCTCATGAGCTCATTTGGCTGCCTGGGCATAACCGGGAATTGTCGGAGACGTCTTGAGGTCCTGGGTGGATCTGCCCGTATTAAATATCTTTATTTCCTAAGGAAATGCTGCCGTCGCGAGCACAGAGCGGGCGTGGAGATGTGCTCCCTCCCGGGAATGCTGACATTCGGCCAGTTTGCTTCAAACTTGGTGAAATTCAACATATTTACCCATTATAGCGAGAGAGGGGAAAAGAAACCCAACAAACGAAGGCTGCAGTTGAGGGCAACCAAGACCAACCCATGTAGGAGGTCCACACCACGAGCAACTCAACAGCAAGGCGAGTTTCAATTAGTGTTCAAGCTTTATTACACACCAGAGAATCCATAGACAAGCTACAGCAAGACTGAAACTATTTCTGTTTTTTTTTTTTCTATAAAATTCTCAATTCTTATGTACAACATGAGTGGATATCCTGCTCGAGGGAGCTGGCAGTGATTTCGAAAAAGATCTAAGCGCTCTTAAAAAAATAAAACTTCCCTCAAAAATAGGCCTGTGGGTCGTTATTATTAACCACCCTCGAACTATCTTACAAATGGAAAATGCAGCCCACTTTTAGAAATATAAGTTCTCTTTCAAAAATAAAATATGTTTGAAAAATAAAGGAGAATACCTCTTTGATAAGTGGAGGTTCAGGCTTCCAGCCCTTGGGTAAAAAAAGGCAAAATATCTTTTAAAAATTATTTCAAAAGCGACACTTTGTTGAGATCCTGTTTTTACATCGCTATATTAAATTATCTTAAAAGGAGAGAAATGTCATCCCTAAAGAAGGAGTGAGAAATTGAGCCAAGATGCTGCTTTTTTTTGACGCACACGGACAATTAATGGTTGTTGCTACTAAGGAAAGTGAACATGGGAAGACAGGCGAGCGGAGCACAGAGGGCTGAGCTTGGAGATGGTCTGTGGTCCATCCTTGGGATCATCATCCTGCTCAGATGTTGGCTCAGGTTCTCTCCATCCGCCTCCTCCTTGTGACTTGCTGCTTCTCCAGGACCCAGTGAGGCCGTTGCCTGTGTCTGCTGCCACCCAAGTCTTGTGGTCCACGCGGTCCATGCGCACCCTTGGGAGACGGAAACCGTGGTGCAACGAGTCCTCCTGCAACGAGCAGCTCCCTGGAAAGCGCTCTTCCCACCGGGCAGCTGGGCTGGACTAGATGAAGAGTGTAGCTGTGAAACGAGCGGTCTCGCTGCCCGCCTGCAGCCGGCAAACCTCTGATGGACATGGTGCAAAGGCCACGTTTTTAGAAACTTGGAAAGAAAATGGAAATGGGAAGAGAAAGTGGAGGAGACCAGTGGTTCCCCCATGGTGAAACACTGGCCTAAGCTAGAGGCAGATAGTTGTGGATGGAGCTTCTAGTGCTGAGGGAGATGATGTTGGGTGAAGCTGCATGTGAGAAGGGCAAGGTGGGACACGACGCTGGAGGTGAGGGTGGTGGAATGGGTGCTAGGGCTGCGATTACTGCTCTGCAAACCAAAGCAGGCCCAAATAGTAAACAGCAGAGGAAGGAGAAGCAAAGATGTGGGAAAACAACAACAAAAAGGCATTCTGCTCCTTGGAATCCGGGTGGGATGGATGACCACTTTGGTGGATGGGCAGTGACCCACCAGCCCCGCTCCGGTGTGGGTGGACAGGGCTGCTTCTCAAGGGCGGGATGATGAATCCAATGGGATATCATAAGGGAAGCTCCATGGGGAAAGAGGCTCCCATTGACCCCCTCCCCCTTGGGATGGGCATGGCATTAGGCTGAGGACCATCTCCTTCATGACCAGAGTGGCTTGAGCTTGACTCAGGGCCACATCTTCATATGGCTTATTTCTTTGTTCCATCCCAACAAACACACTCATCCCAGTGGAAAGTGTGAGTGAAGTTTGTGGTCCTTGGGGCTCATTCTGGAGGTCTCAGTGTGTCGTTGGTTTTGTTCAACTCTGAGCAGCAAGAGTGGACTTGTCTTAGATTTCCAGACAAGGCAACTAGAATGGTTGCATGATGTGTCCGAACGGAGGTCAATAATCCCTCAAGAGCTAGTGGGTGTTAAGACTTCACTTGGGTGCAATTCTGCATTGGATCCAGCCATGGAAACCAGGCAGGTCCAACCTCAGTTGGCGAGATCCCTTCACCCCGGCCAGGAGAAGAGGGAGAGATAGGAGCATCCACACACTGATGCCTCCACCCATCTGACTGCAGCAGACCTGGGCTTCAGCACCCAAAGAGCTGCACCACCATGGCCCAACTTCCAGCCATGGATTCCATCCCACGGATTCCTTCAGCCTCTGCATGGGTCCTCCTCCCTCCGAAAGGGGAATTTGGGGAGCAGATGAGGCTGAGAAGAACGCGCCGTCCCGGGGGGGAAGGAGAATCTTGTCCAAGAAAGAACATGACGTCCGCTAAAGAAAAATGTGCCGACTTTAGGGTTTCTGACTCAGATTGGTCTGTGTGCCTGGTGACCCTAAGACGCAGGCTTGGCTTTAGGGAAACCAGCTGGCCATGGTGTAATTCATTTTTGGTCACCACACTGATCCTTGAAAGTCTCAGATGAGGGTGAGTGTTGACTAAGCACTCTGATGAGACAGGGGAAGATAAGCAGGGCTTAGATAGCCCTGGGAGGCCAGACACAAGCCAAGAGCTTCCATTTCACCAGGGTGTTTGGCCTTGTCTTGGCAGTGAAGGGTTGGAAACCACAACCAATCGAATGTAGTTGGCAGACCTGATGGTTGCTTAGCATGAGTCATTCAACACAAAGTCCTCTGTTAGGCTGAACCCTTCTTCTGTGCCGTGATCGAGATGACAGAACAGCACAGAGCAAGCCAGAGTGGCCACTTAGGATTGTGGCTCCAGTTTGGAGCAACAGCATCAGCCCTCCAGAAATGGGCCGTGCAACTGAATGGCTTCACTAGGACCCACCCAGGCCCAGGACCTTCCAGCTAGGTGAAGCTCATGAAGGTTGCTGGGTGCTTCTAGCTAGACCTGCCTGCATGGGGTCTATGAAGGTCCTGCTCTTGAATTCATGAAATTACTCTATCAATCACAGCTCTTTTTTTCCCCCCGCTTTGGTTTCTGCCCCTGGTAGATGCAGAAGACCCAGACTGTTAAATAAAAAGCTAAATATTGTGAAAGCGAGCAAAGAGACCGTTTTTGGTGGCACTTCCCTCTCCTTTAAGGTAGTACTAGTTTCATAGCTCAACTGATGCAATTGCACAGCATTTTCCTGGTGAAATTGGGGTACAAACACTCCTTAAATGTTGTGTTTTGGGGTTCTTCTGGCTGCCTCAGGGATTCATGGGGTTACCTGGAAAAAAAAAACCTGGCAGAAGTTCGCTGTGGAGCAGCTGTGTCCCCTGGCCAATCCCGGGTCACTGTGGGCTGTAACCCACCAGTGTGTGCAGGTCCCCAGTGACTGCAGCCTGTTCTGCTCTAGGATGCGCCACGGGTGCATCCAGCTGGGTTCCCAGCTGGGAACCGCTGGAAGGAGCAGGGACGAGGTTGCTACTGAGCAGGAAAGGGGAACCAAACACAAGGAGCAGCCTGCAGAACGAGAAGCGGTGGTGGAGCTGTGGTCAACTGGTGGGATGGGGCAGGTGGGGAAGTGGCTGCTAATGAAAGGATGTCAGCACCATCCTTGTGTCCACAAGGCTGAAGATGCAGCAGGTCCCTCAGCTCCCCACAGCCACGGGAGGGGCAATGGGGCAGAGCAGCAGGACAGAGCCAAAGCATCACGAGACATCAGCCATGGGGACGCCAGGCCCCGGGGAAGATGCAGAGGCCCATGAGGGTGCTCATTAACGCTCTCTTGGCCCACCTGCCCTGCTGCAATGTGATGCCCTCTCTCCCGGTGCAGAGCAGGAGGCTGCTGTGGACCATGCCCAGCCCAGGAGCAGAGCGGCCTTTCGCCAGACCCTGGAGGCTTGATGGCATTGGGCTGGGGAAGGGCTATCGGTGACACTTGGTCCCACACTGTCCCCCTGGAACGGCTGCCCACTGGGTGCTTCAAGGGGTAGAAGCACCCTGGGCAGGCAGCAGGGTTGGGGGAAAACGTGGTCCTTGAGCCTGGTTTGGAGAAGACCTACCAGAGGCGTGCGAAGCGAAGCGAGCAGGGACGCGTGCGCGTGTCCCACGGACCTCGCAGGGCAAGCAGGAGAGGTGCCAGGTTTGCAACGGCACTAGGAGAGGGTGCCGGGGCAGCACGACGGGTTCCCTGCGCGCCCTTGGCTGCACGGGACCACGCGCGCTGCACGCCCCTGTGCCACCGGCCGGCACTGGTGGAGCCCAGCTCGGGCCAGTTTCAGACAAAGAATGTTTATTCTTCCACTATTTTTTTTCCTTTGTTGCTTTTTTTACAAAACGTCTCCTCTCCGTGCCCGCGGGCAGGGCCTGGCCAGGCTCCAGAGCTCGGCCAGCGCTCGCTGCCCTGGCCGTGCCCTCCAGCGAGGTGCTGCTCCCACCGCGCTGGCCCTTGCTCGCTCCTGCTAGCCCCAAGCCCTGCTGCAGCCCAGCCCCGGGACGCCCACAGCCCAAGCAGGGCCCTGTCCTTGCAGAGGTCTCACGGGCTGGCTCCTCTGCCCGGTCTAACCCACAGGGAAGGACCAGCCTCTTGGACGCAGGCGCCAGGAGATGGATGGTGCCCCGCTGCAGCAGGAGATGGGAAAAGGGCCAAACCAGATAGACACGTCCGTCTGGGGGGGCTGACGCTGTCTCTGTCACCATAAGGTCATCGAGACAGGGACAAGGACTGCATTGCTGGGGCCTTACGCATCCCTGGGGGAAGAAACACTAAGCAGAAGATGCTGGGACTTGATCTTCTCAGCAAGATCAGAAGATCCAGCTGATCTTCTCAGCTGGAATAGGGTTGAAGGAGAAGAGCCCGTCCCGGCACAGGGGCCGGATTGGGGCATGCAGCCGCAGCGAGAGGAGGCACCGGGTGCCACCCTCGCAGAGGGCTCATCGGAAGACAGCGGGGCTGCCCCAGGGAGCTGGGGCTCACGTTGATCCAGATCCTCCTGGTCAGCGGATGGGCGGGTGGCTGAAAGGGCTCAAGGCACCTTGTTAATATCCACGCAAAGGGGTGTTTGTTCCCAAAATTCCCACGGAAAGAAGAGTACGTTAAGGTTCACATTAGCACATGTCATATGTATATAGTGCAAATCAGAGCCCCAGCACCAGAGGGTTCATGCTCTGGTTAGTGGTTAGGACGTCCCATAGGTGCAATCCTGGGCACTGCAGACACTCCAGCCCTTGGTTTTCCTCCCTGCAAGGAGATTTGCGCGTCATCCATCGCTTTCCAAGCCCTTGTTGTGCAGAACGAGCCTCTTGGCCCGTGTCACTGTCACGCTCCCACCTCATGCCCTATGGGAGAGCACTCGGAGAAGGCTGGTGAGCCTTCCAGAGGAGATACAGAGAGCCTTTCCTTCTGCAGCAAAACACAGGGCTGTCCTCAGAGGGATCTTTGGCTGGTCGGAGAGGAGCTCTGGGCGCAGTCCCGAAGGCGGTTCTCACCATCCGTAGCACAGCCACACCATCCATCCCCACACCCACTCCCTTCCCCAAGGGTGAGGAAGATCCCAGGAGAAGGGCAGCTCGGCATCTAGCTGCCACCACAGCCAGAGGGGTGGAGGCCTCTCACACACGTCCCCAAAGGGCTTTAGGGTCCCAACGGTTGGGGACTGAAGGCAGGCACGGTCTAGGTTTGCAAGGCCGTGCCATGCCGAGGGGGGTTGCGGTTCTCCACTGGTCCCGAACAGGAGGATGGCTTCCAGGTGGATAGAGGAGCATCCTTTCTGGGTGACCTGCAGAGGTGGAGCCGAGGCCCAGGCCATTTGAGGACTGTGGCTCGAGGAGTGAGGATGATGTGCCAAACGGGAAGCCAGGAGTGAAGAGCAAGTGCTGGGCTCAGGAGAGTCCAGCCACTTCCTGGAAGCAGGGGAGCAGAGAACGTCACTGCTCGTCACTGGTTCATGGGTTCCTCTTCCTCCATCGGCTCATCCTTTGTCCTGAAATGGAGAATAAAGCACATGAGAGGAGGAGGAGAACAACGGAGAGACCTTCTGTCATATCTGACTCCTGGAGCTGGGGCTACACAGGAACCTCCCTTCTTTCCAGTATTTCCCAGTCTGGAGACCCGTGTCTATCCCAGCTGAGTCCTGACAAGAATAAGATGCAGTGGGGGACAGATGGAGAACCTGCTGTATTCACGTGATGGGAGGAAAAGAGGATTTGGTCTTGTTTTCATCTTGTTTGGTTGGGTCTGAGACTGTTTTCAGAAATTGTTCCACTTGCCTCAGCTGGTGTCATGACACTGGGTAACTCGCAGGGGACAGTGAAGAGGCCAGTGCTGGGTCCCCTGGAAGCAAACCCAGGTCCTGGCTGTGGGGTTGTAGGACTTTAGCCCATCCCTCACCGGTGCTGAACTCTGGGGCCAAATATCACAGAATCACAGAATCTTCAGGGTTGGAAGGGACCTCTAGGGATCCTCTAGTCCAAATATGTTGTGGGATGTGAGGGATACATGGTCAGAGCTCTGGGTGGGAATAACAGTTTTAAGTTGTGTTCTCTGGTCCCCAAGACCTGTTTAACGCCAACACAGTCCTGAGCATCTCATGTGGCTTGGGAACATGGTTGGTCATGGTTGGAACATGGTTACTTCTATCCTGTTGCTACCAAGGCTCAGGGTCGGGCACACTGAGACCAAGGGACGCCCACACTTCCCCTGACTGCTTAAGGGCATCACCTCTTCTCGGCCATCACGGCCACCGAGAGGGAGGCCAAAGCTGTGACAGTCTCCACCTCTTCTGCTTCGTGGTGCTGCGCCTCCAGGAAGGAGCAGCCCAGCTTGGAGGCAAAGCGCTGTACGGCGACCCAGTATTTACCTGGAAGAAGAAGCAAAGATCAGGAGTTTTTGGGACACGAGTGGAGGAAATGCTAATGCAGTGACCTGGTAGACCAGCTAATGGCCTTATCCCTGAGGCCGTATCCCTGAGACACTCACTCTGGACCTGGATCACTGTTTCCAAGGAGCGCACAGCATTGGGATTTGGCTTCTGCCTCATGCTTTCTTCTGGGAGAGGATCCAGCTGCCAGGGGAAGAGAGGCAGGAATCAGCGGGAGGGAGCTGTGCCCAGGGCTCAGCTCCAGCACGGGCAGGGTTGCAATAATCACAGTCTGTGCTCCACAGCTTTAAGTCAACTCGACTACATGTGAAGTAAAGTTGATGTCAGCAGAGCTGAAAGCACCACACCCCGCCCACCGAAGCAGCCATGTGGACGTGATGCTGCTCTCTCTGTGCCCAAATCGGTCATCAGGACCTTTGCCTGGACCACTCAGCTCTTTGGCTGGAGAGAGGCACATGCTCCCCTTTCCTCCCAGGCAATGCATTGGTTCCCGATCTGAGGATGAGGAGCGCAGGCTGCCTCCCAGCTCCTCCACAAGGATGTGGCTGCCCCGGGTCTCGCTGAGCCCTGAGCTCTCACCTCGTTGCCCAGCAAGGCTGACACGCAGGCCTCGGACGCATCGCAGATGGCCGTAAGGTCATGGCCACCTTCTAGCGCGAGGACCACGGCTCCTCCAGCCAGACTCATCAGCTGTTTTGTCATATAGCCAAAGCCTGGAGAGGAAGGTGAAGGAGAGATGAGCCTTCCTATCAAGATGATGGGGCCTTTGATGCCATGCCAGCAATATCCCAAAGAGCTGCCACTTAAGGGACAGCACCTTCCCGCGAGCCATGGTCCCAGCCCCAGCCTGGACCAGGAGCACCTGCTTTCTCCCAGCATCCCACCCATGTTGATTCCAGCTTCCTTACATTTGGCAGAGACTTTGTAGCCACCCAGCGGTGGTGGGTGGCCATCAGCTGCGTCGAAGCCAGCTGACACCAGCACCACATCGGGGGAAAATTCATGTGCAATTGGCATCACCACCGTCCTGTGCGGGGAAAAAAGCAAGAGGTGCTCAGTCCTGGAGCCTAGCACGGCCCTGACGCTTCTCTATGCACCCGCAGCAGCCCCAGGCTGGGGACCCCAAGGCCACCAAAGCCCTAGGCAACTATGAGAGCCTCTGGCTCAGCCGGAGGCACAAGGAAAGGGCAGAAAGAAACGCAAGGAACGGTACCTGAAAGCTGCCAAATACTCGGGGTCACCCATGGGTGGGTCGAGACCTCCAGTCCAGGCTACATTGACGTTAAATCCCTCGCCAGGGCCAACACCCACCTGTAAGAGAGCAAGGACAGAAAGGAAGGCCTGGATGTGGCCTGCAATGGTGATGGGGCTCCTCCTTGACTGGGTTCCACCACTGCCAGGCTCAAGGGAGGCAAACTTGAGCCTCAAGGGAGGCTCAAGGGAGAGCAATGGGAGGCCGTCAGTGTCTGCCTGAATGACAAATCCCCTCATCCTGATGTTTTCCTGATGTTTCGTAGAGCGTTGCGGCCACCGGTCCCTGCGCTGTTGGCTACAGGCAGGGGTGAAGTGCAAGAGGACACAGAGACTGCGAAAGGAGCCTATGGAGAGTGGACTAGGAACGGGATCCATTCCAATAACCCTTAAAGGGGTCCAGATACCCTCTCCGTTCCCCTTAATGCCAGTGAGGTGCTCCATGCTTCACCCCTTTGGATCAGAAGCCCCTTTCTTGCAGCAAGTCAAAGCAATAGGGATCCCTTGGGGTCTGAGGAGATCACAGACTGATATTGATGGCAAAGGGTGCCCTGCCGGTTGCCAGTCCGACCTTCCAATCACAAGACTGTCCCTAAAACTAAAGCCAAGATTATCTAGCTGAATCTGACCACATCCAACGATGGTGGACCCCTCATTTCTCTGGGTGCTCCAGGGACATTGTGACCTGCTCAACTTTGCTTTTTACCTCGTCAGCAGCTCCGCTGCCAGGGAAGAAGTTCCCATCATCATGACGATGCAAAGAGATGTAGAGAACATCAGGGTCTCGGTAGAAGATCTGCTGTGTCCCATTGCCGTGGTGAACGTCCTAGAAGGAGAGATGTTTGGGAGAGGGATCCTTGTTTAGCCTCTAGGTTGGCCAAATAGCCAAATGGAGAAAAAGCCCTTGGATCCCTCCTTGCTTCATGCCATGGGGGGGTGTTCCCTGAGGGACACGATTTCCCTGCTCTCCAGTCTAGCTCCAAAAGCACCACTGATGGCAACTACAGATACCAGCTCCTGGAGACAGCTCCGGCACGGGAAGAGGCAGGATTTGCTGAGGGAGAAGGTCAACTTACCCAGTCCACAATGAGAATCTTGCCGAGTTTCCCTTTCTGCTGCAGCTGCCTGGCAGCTATGGCCACCGAGTTGAAGAAGCAGAATCCCCTGCAAAGAGGCAGTTGGGAGTGGTCAATGCTCTGAGCTCCTTGCTGAGCACCTTTCCCCTCCGGCCTGTCCGCTCCCCAAAGCAGGGGCTCAGCCTCCCCGTCCCCGCCAGGTCTGGAGAGGGATGGGTGCTGGAGGATTTAGGCTGGAGCAATTGGTATTTTTAAGCCAAGGCCCCCTTGTGCTGTGCAAGCAGCCCCGACAGAGTGTCTATGGGGAGCTGGGCTTTGGTGGGTGCCCAAAGCCCTGTGGCCTGGGGAGGGGACCTGAGGGGCAGCCAAGCCTTACATGGCAGTGGAAGGATCTGCGTGATGTCCAGGGGGCCGCACCACCGCAAAGCCGTTCTGAGGACAAAACAGAAGGAAGGTGATCAGAAACACTGCGCCCATCAGAGCTTCGTGCACCCCATCCACCCGGAGCTGGCCAGTCCTGCACAGAGCCAGGGACACAGCTGGGCATCGAGACCAGAGCAGCAGAGGGATGGAAACACCCAGAACCGGTTGAGGAGAGGAAAGACCTGCCCATTCGGATGCTGGGCCCACCTAAGCTTGAAAGTCATCCCAGAAATGGCCAGGCAGGTAGTTCGGCCGCCTAGGGATACCAGGGCGGTACTGCCAGATGTCCCCAGTACTGCCAAACTTGTCACCAGGAGCCTTAGAGATGAACCACCCAACCGCAGCAAATACCCCGCAGAGAGCGACTGCTCCTCACACCCTGCCGTGGGCTTAGACACGGCTCCGGGCTGCCGTGTGTTCTCATCCTACCTTAAGTTCCCTGGTGGCCACCTTGAAGGCCAGCTCCGTGACACTGCCCGCGGCCCAGCGGGCAGCATTGGAGGAATGCAGCTCATTCCAGATGGTATCACTGTCCACCTGGAAGCAAGCGGATTAGTTGGGTGGAGATGGAGACAGTGGCAATCTCGGCCAGGGCCCCCAGGCGCTTGGCCAGCTGCCCTGGTCTCTGCTCGGTGCCAGGCACCGCTGTCCTGCAGAGCCAGAAGTGCCCGGCACCATGGACCGGACTACCTTGCATGCAATCAGGCCGGCTCCCGGGCCAGCAACATGGTGCTCCTGGCCAGGCCAGCAGCTTCTCCAGCAGCTCTAAGCGCTGCTTGGCCAGCCTGAGCCCCCAGCCGAGCAGGGTGGTGGAGGCTCCGCATGGGCTCTGCCCGGAGCACCTCACCCTGCACCCAGGGGCTGGAAGGAGTGACGGAGAAAACGCTAGTTACCTTCGTTATCTTATTTTATTGTTTAATCAAACATCTTGGTTTGATCAGGATCGCGTCAAGGGCTGAGCCAGAGCTGGAAAACTCAAGTCTCTTCTGCTCACCTCCATGTGTGCAAGTCAAAGGCTTCCCTCTGCCCACGAGAGGGGCAGGGCTCTCCCCCTCTGCCTCCAGGGCACCGGCCAGAGGAGGGCAGGGAGCAGGAGGAAGAAGAGGAAAAAATGGGTGCGAACGGGGCTGAGAAGAGCTGGTGCCCAGCAGCAGGGGCAAGGGGAGGAGAAGAACCAGAAGAGGCAGCAAGAAGGCATGGAGTGAGACCCTTCCTGAAAGAGAGAGAGAAAGAGAGAGATCGACAGAGACAGGGGGACAGAGAGGAAGAGAGGAAAATGCAATGAATGGAGAGAAACCAGGGCAGCAAGCCGTGAAAGGAGGGGCAGCAGAAGTGTCTGGAAAGAAGTGTCAGCCTGCAATCCTCACGGCACTGCTGTCCTTCCCAAAGGAGACCAGGGGTCCCTCTCTGGACATCCCACCACTACTGCTGGGACAGCACTGGCTCCCATCTGCCACCTGAGCTCCTTCTCTCCTGACTCCCTGGGCTCCTAGGAACGGTTCTAAGAGGCTTTTGGTTACTGCATGCCCTGGAGTACGGGGCTGAAAGGGCTCCTGTTTCAGTGCTTAGGAGAGTCGTGAGGACTGGAGCAAGCTTGGATAAAACAACTTCTTGCACAAGGGTGGAGAGCTCCTGCCTGGCGCTACCCAACCTTGTCAGGCTAGTGACAAGGAGGGGACACCTTCCCACATCCCTCCTTGCATGCAGGCTGGCACTGCTCGGGCCTTGGTGGGGCCACTTTTCCCTGACCCTCAAGTCATCTCTAGACCTCTGAGCTCCCTCTGAACACCAAGAGCTGATGAGAGGTGAGAGAAGCCCAAAGGTCCAGGGAGCTCCCTCTACACTCTGATCTATTAAGAGGTCCTTAGTGTGGGCAGGACACAAAAAACACTGCCCCAAACTGGTCGGGACAAAGAACTTACCCCAACGCCTCCGCAGGGCAGCATGACAAACATCCGCTGTGACAGGATCCCTGTGGAGCAAGAGAAGAGTGAGGGCTTCGGGCAGGAGGAAGGGAGGATGCTCAGGGACAGGGCACGTAGCTGCCAAGGAGGTAAGTTCTGCCAGGCTGCTTGGGCACCGTTAGGAACAGCAGCCCCGAGAGGGGTGGGCAGCTGCCTGGCTGCGATCCCCGCGGCTGAGGATGCTCTGAGAGCTGGTGCTGGGGCAGTCAAGGAAGGTGCAAGGGGAGTGCAAAGGTGCCCGAGGGAACAGCACCACTTCCAGAGCCCAGGAGGGGGGAGCCAGGCCAGTGACGGGATGGTTACAGGGAGGGCTCTTTCCTTGCTCAATGCTGGGCAGCAGGGCCAGAGCCTGGGCTGAGATTCAGGGCACCCCGGGCGGGCTGGACTCACCTGCCAACTTCCCGTTGTCCAGTTTCAGGCGGTTGAGGGGGTTGGTGCCGTAGAGGAACACATGGCGCTCGGTGTGCACGCACTGCAGCTCTTCCAGCGTGGCCTTGCGTCCCCGCAGACACTGCAGCACACAGGAGCTATGAACAAGCTGCTGGAGCAGGGGCGCCGCGGGCTCTCCCAGCCCAGCAGGCACAGCACGGGTGCTGCCTTGCTTCCTGAGCCTTGAATCAGGGATTCAAGGTGCCGTTTGGAGCAGGAAAGGGACACACATCCGCAGCAGGGCAGGCTGTGTGATCGTGGCACGGTCTGGGCCCCATCTGCAGCTAAACCCTGCAGCAGTGGAGGTGCTGCATGACTGAGCACGGTACTTCTTTACCTTAGGCTTGAAATAATTCAAACCCCTTCATCTGTAAGGCACAGATCAGCCAGGGAATACCAGTATCATTTTCCTACAGTTTACAAGTTTGCATGGTCCAGGGTCAGCCTAGTTAGACCAGGGCAAGGTTTCTAACAGACCAGAACTGACTCTTATGTCCCCCGAGGCAGCAAAAAGCTGGGACAAAAAGGCTGAGAGGATCTGAGGATGAAAAGGATGGAGGTGGGAGCAGGATACGATCCCTCACTGCGTGAACACAAGATCCACTTGCACCAGCACCGTTTCCCTGGCACTCACCTCGCACTGGCCGCGCAGCCCCCTCTCCTGCAGACGGGACCAGATGCTCTGGATCCTGCCCGCGTGCTCGGGGTGGTTGCTGTTATCGCCGCAGGAGCACTGGTGCTTGAGCATCACTGAGTCGTAAACCAGCCCTGCAAGGCACAAGCGCATCAGGACACGGCAGGCCCAACACTAGACTAGAAACTCAACCTTCGATTTGGCTTCCCCTAATTCAGGGGCTGGACTGCTGGATAGGGCCGGAAATTTTGCTGACTTTCTTGTTTTTTTTGACTAAAATATCTTCCTCTGTCCATGGCAGCTTCTGCCCCAAGAGTCTTGAGACTAATCCTGCCTTAGCTGTGCGAGACAGTCTAAATGGTCACCCACCAGCAGAGCTGGACCAAGATGACTTGGAAGGGACATATTATTATTATTATTATTATTATTATTATTATTATTATTATTATTACTTGTATATATTATATATAAGTAAATAATATATAAAAAGTACATATTAGAAGTATATACATGTATATATTATGAGTTTATACATAAGTATATATATAAAATAAGTATTTTTTATATATATATATATATATATATATATAATTACTGCTCCTGCAGTAATAACATGGGAGCACAGTGCCCCCCCGGGAGGGGACGTGCCCTACCTGTTGTGAAATGTGGCTTGCTTGGCTGTTCCTGCACAGGCAGCGAGAGCGTCTTGGCGGCTGGATCCGGGGCAGGAAGGGAGACACTCGCGGTGGCAGGAGATGACTGGGCCCTGGAGAGGGGCCGGTGCCCTGTGTGCACGGCCGGGAGCACGGGCGAGTCAGCCGGGGGCTGCCGCTTCAGGAGCTGGTGCTGCAGGCGCTGGTAGGGGTCCCACAGATAGGCCTGGGGGAGAGGGGCAGCAGTGAGCATGGCACCTTGGCTCGGGCTTTGGCAAGGGGTTACTCTGCAGGGCAACTGGACCCAGCATCACTCAGCGTGGGAGAAGGAATGCAGGGTAGTGCCTCGCGCAGCCCAGGAAGCAGCCTGGCTCCGGGAGGGCTTGGATCTGCCAGCCCTAGGATACCTGTTGGAGAACAAGCTCCTCCTGTGACTGCATCATCTTCTGCGTCCTCTCAGGCTCCTTCACGCTGCCTCCTGACCGTGTGGCTTCAGTGCGTGTCCGTGCCTGGTCACCGCCCTCACCCCCAGCCTCCAGGAGGGTCCCCTCTGCCTCCATGTCCTCCGAGGAGGGAATCTGTCGCAGCCGGGGCTTCTCGCTGGACTTGGCCATGCGCTGCAGACAGAGGGACCACAGAGGAGTACAGAGAGGTGACACGGGACAGGAGAGATGCCCGCTCAGACTGCAGAGGTGCTGCAAGACAGCAGGGCATCTCGGGGTGAGAGCACTGTGAACGTGGGAGGCAGTAAAGCTGGACAGCCCTGTCCATCTGCTGCTTGTCCATGAGGAAGGGTTTCTCCCTGCACCCTTGCGGTATCCTCCTCCAGCACCTCTCTCCTTCCATGGGCTGAACCCCCGTGACTCACCTTGCCCAGATGTGTCTGCTGCTTGATCCTCTCCAGGAACTGGGTGTGATGCTGCTGGTAGACCAGCTGCTGCTGGATGGCCTTGGGGTTCTGGGGCAAGGGCTCTGAGCGGGTCCTGCCCAGCGGCTTGTGGTGGCCTGGCAGTGACAGGCGCTCTGCGGAGATGAGCGAGGGGGCAAAGGAGAAAGGGACCGTCCCCAGACCTGGCACTGCAGAGAAGAGAAAGCAGAGGTGAGGGGGTGCCTGAATGCTGGCTGGACAGAGCACCCCACACTTGCCCATACCATGGCAAGCAGCAGCTCTGGGCATCCCAGGCCGGCAATTCCAGAGATGGGTCTGCCCGGTAAGCCTTCCTTTGGGAGAAGGATGTGCAAGAAGCAGAATAGGTTTCTTTGGGCAAGGGGAAAGCTTTCCAGCCTGCAGAGTTCGGGAAACATGCAGGGAAGGAGTCCTGTGTAGCCCAGGTTTCACCAGGCAGGGTGAGTGCATCCGACAGTGAGTGCAGCCTCATGGAGCTCTTCCTTCGGAGCCCTTAGGCTGGCACCACGCAACCCCTGGCCACCTGGGGATGGCTCTGGCTGTCCTAAATACCAGCAGGTTGCAAGAGTTTATGCAACGTCATGCCAGCCTCAGCACCAAGGACTGCTCCTGGGCACGTCTCCTCTACAGAAGAGCAGCAGCTTGCGTTGTGATGTTGGGCCTTTCTGGTGCAATGCACTGGGTGCCCCCCGAAACCCCCTGCCTACCCTAAGCGAAGCTCCGTGCTCAGCCCTGCTAGCACTGGCACAACCTCAAGCTGGCACGCGGAAAGCTCGACACTTACCCGCCACAAGAGGAGCGTGGGTGACAGAGGGCTCAAGGATGATGACAGGCTGGAGCCGAGGGGACAAAGGGCTCCCGGCCTCATGCTGCTCCAGGCCAGTTGGTAAGAACATGGGTGAATGCGTGCCCGCGAGGACGGGCCCATTGAGCACAGGCACCCGGTGTGCCAGGCCAGAGAGGGGACGGCGATCTGCCTCTCCCTGCAAAGAAAAGGAGCATTGGGTTAGCAATATGCCAGGAGAGCAGAGCTTGGGACAAGCATGGAGAGCGGCTGGCGCGTGCCAGGCCCACAGGCAGGATCTTTGAGGACTCGGAGTCAACAAAACAACTAGGTCTAGCCCAGGGACCCCAAGAGAGAGGCTGGGCTCCCCCTGCCCAGCAGGAACCGGCTGTGCAGGTCTAGGGCTACCTACAACCTGGCTACCTACCCTGGCGCTAGTGGTAGCTGGCAGTCCCAGCGTGATGGCTGGCAGGGAGGCTGCACTCTGCAGGGCAAACTGGGCCAGTGAGCTCTCCTGCATCATCAGGCGCTGGGCCAGAGGCGTCTGCACCAAACACATTGCGTTAGTCTCTGCTCTGGAAACATCTAGGGGAGCACCTGGGGCAGGAGCTGTTGGGGGCTCGTGGGGACAGCATGCACTCCAGCAGGACACTGCTACGCAGGGCAGTGCATAGGGGAGCTTGCAAAGGGTTCCCCCATCCCGGGAGAGGGGGATTTGGAGAGACGGAGGCAGTCCTGGGTAGCAGAGTTCACAGACGGGGTTCCCAGAGGAACGCCAGCTTATTCTGAGCCTAGGATGTGGGTCTAGCAGGAAATGAGGACTCTCATCCCAGAAGCTGGAACTCCTGACCCTGCAAAAGCTGCCTCTGAGGCCGGGGGAGCTCACCTCGTGGACGACGGCGGCGGCAGCGGCGGGCAGCGCGCCGTGCTCGGCGGGGAGGCTGTCGTTGGGCGAGCTGCAGCCGGACACGGGGGTGCTGCTGCTGCTCGGGGAGGAGTCTGTGCAGGAGAGACAGCACGGAGACGGGCATGGGCACCCGGAGAAGGGCAGCACAGCACCAGGCCAGCCCCCCGTAGGCTCAAACCCAGCCCTGCCTCCGACAGCTTGCCACTGCCTTTCCAGGCCAAGGCTTGGGCCATATGGCATGGCTGGGACAGATCTCTGTGCCAACTTGGATGGTACCACAGTGAGAAAACCCGGACAGCTGCATTTGTGCAGGGCCTTGGACCCATCGTGCGTTGTATGTCCATCACGGGCCTCCAAAACAGCTCGGCGAGGCTGCATCGGCCTCTCCTTGCTCAGCTATCCCTGCATCATCACAGCACAAAGTTCCTTCACGGGCAGTGCCCCAGTGATGGCACTGATAACACCGGGAGCCTCCAGGACACGATTTCCCCTCTCCAATCCCCTAGACTGCAAGATCACGGCTGCTGCAACGGGGCCTCAGTGTCTACAAGCTCCCACGTTACAGCAGCCCAGGAGAAGGCCTCACCGATCGCCTCAGGTGGCCTTCTCTTCAATGAAGGCGGCGCGCTCTCCTTACGGGTCAGAGGGTTCTTGCGTCGGTCGAGGCACTTCCTGGGCTTGCACCGCACCTTCAGGTTGGGCTCCGACGCTGCAAGCACACAAGGCACTTAGTCCCTCGCCCAGCGGGGCTGGGAGCCCAGCTGCCTTGGCCCACGCCACCTCCTGCTCCACCCATCCCCTGCGATCCCCATGTGCAGGCTGAGATGGCACCAGAGGGGCACGGAGATGCTGCTAGCCCCTAGGTCTTACCCGTCTTCCGCAGCGGAAAATGCTCCGGGGGGTCAAGAGAAGTGCTGGGGACCGGGGGCAGGAAGGTGCTGAGCACAGGAGGGGAAGGGCCCTCAGGATCCAGGGGCTCTAGAGGCCTGTGGGGGAGAAGACACCTGGTTAGAGACCTTAGCTGGCACTGTTTGGACTCCGCCAATCCCCAGCTCCAGGCTTGGCCAACACAGCCATCTCCATGAGTCTTTGGCAACCCAAAGCTCCAGCATCTGCTTCCTGTACATTTCTCATGGGGATTTGCACAGGCCTGAGCTCCTGGGATGTTGCCTTCAGACTCCCCAATCCCCAGAGCGCTCTGCCCGCCCTTATACAGGTGGCAGAGGGGGCACTGCCTCTCCTGGCTGTGTGCTGGGTGCCTGCCAGCATGCACAAAGACTTGCTCCATCCACTCTTGTGAGCTCCTACCCAAGGGATTGGGCTGCCAAGGGCTGGGAACGTGTTTCCCTCTTTGGATCTTCAGTGAATGCAAAACTCTTGCTCATCCTCAAAGAACCCAACAACTGCCCCCCTTGCAGTCTCGTGCTGGCAGGATCCAGGTCTCCCCTCCTTGTGCCCAGCTGCTGTCACTGAGCAGCAAGGTGGGGAGACTCATGTGCAGGATCTCCCAGCTCATGGTGAGTGTCTCAAGTTTTCCCACGTCCCTAGAGATTTGTTCCTAGGGATGTGCGTGGGTTGTGCCTCTTCTTGAGAGGAAAGACAAGCAGCCTGACAGCACTTCTTGAGGCAAAAGTGGGGCTGCTCAATGAAGTCCAACAAGGCCACGGAAGAAAATAGAGGAGATAGATCCACCACTTGACACTGAACCCAACTGCCTGACCCCTGCAGACTTCAACTGAGATAAACTGTCATCAGGAAAAGTCCTCCTGTCAGGGTCCTAAGCATAAGTCCCGCTCTTGGCAGGTTAAACAACCCCAAGAGGATATCCTTGTTTTACCTGTATGGCATGGCTGAAGGGTTGGGGTTGCTGGTCCTCTCCAAAGCCGCCTGCTGCTTCTTCAGGATGACCTCAGCCAGCTTCTGCTTCACCACTGTGCTGGCCACAGCACCTGCAGGAAAACCAGCAGTGATCACCCCGGACTGGAAGCAAACATGGGTCACCACAAAGGGACATTGGAGATGTGTCCCATGGCCTCCCTCAGGTGGACAAGGGATGTTGAGACATCTGGAGGGCCCCACCACAGCAGCCCGGGCCACCGGCACCAGCGCTGCCTCTGCGGGGACTGCAAAGCTCTTCCCTCTTGTTGTGCATTCAAGGCAGGTCCCACTGCAGCGGCAACGCTGCCCTCGCCTGCAGCTTTGGTGACAGATGCTGCACGTGTCTGAGCACACGGATGTTGAGAAAGCCCTGCTGAGACTGGAGGGGCACGTCTCAGGACAAGGAGAACGCAGGGCCACCATTAGCTCTCCCCGGTCACCTCAGGAGCGTGTCCCTTGTTGAGCACAACACGGGAGAGGCAGAGCAGCTCCGGAGGCAAGTCTCAGCTGTGGACCTCCATCAGCTTCATCCCAGCCAGAGACGGCAGGTAAAGGCTGATACTCAGAGGACACAGAGGGCATCAAACACAATGTCACTGCACAGCAAGGACAACATTTCTCATGGGTTTGTCTCTCCAGAGACCCCATGCTCTGTCACCCTTTGAGCCCCTGCTAAATGTCGGTAATTTCCAGAGAAGGTCCCAGCTGATGACCTAAAGCTCTGCCTAGCTGATGCCCTATGCAGCTCTTGGCACTGTAAGGCTCTCTGCCCAGGTGGGGACAGCCTGGATGAGAGCTGGGGAGAAGGAAAAAAGCACCCCTAAACGGTTCAGTGAATGGCTCTGAGGTTCCTGAATTTCCTGATGGAGCCGCGCTCTTCCAGAGCAGCATCTGCACGAGGCCTCCTGCCTCAACGCGCTGGCAAAGGGACAAGAGCAGCGACCCACGTTCAACACCTGGCTCGATCAGGACAGCACAGGACGCCCACGCGCGGCTCCCAGCGCCGCAGGCTGCTGCAACCGCTCCCCCCGGCGCTGTGGGGCCATGCTCCACCTTGGAGCAAGGCCCATTCCCAAGCTCCCCCTCCAGACAGATCATATCCCAAGCTGTCTGCTCCAGTGAGAACGCAAAGCTCTGGAGTTACGGTAGAGATGTTCCACCCTCTTCCTCCTGTGGCAGCATTCAGAGCCAATTATTGCAGCTAATTTGTAAGATTAACTCCTCGTTTGCATAAGGAGGCCACGTGTGGGCAGTCATGCTCAGCTCTGCTGAGCTGACCACATCTGAAGGGGCTGGGCTTGCTCTGGTATAGCTTGGAAAGGGGAGGACCTGTGGTTTTGGCACTGTAAATAGTCTTGCCAAGCCCCAAAAGTTGGGGAAAACGGCCTGTCCTCTGCAGATACATCGGGATGGCACAGGGCAAACATCAACATCCGCATGGTGCAGCTGACTGTGGGAGTGAGAGAACATTCCCATCAGGGGGTAGGCATTTCTCTTGTGCTGAAAGCACCACCTCAAGAGCTGGGGTTGAAGACCTGGACCACGCTGGGGGCCAGTGAAAACAGAGCCAAAGGGCAGCTGGGCAACAGGACACTGGCAAGAGTCCTGCTGTACGGATGTCCCTGAGCCTTGCAGAAGGGCTCCATGTCCCGGGAAGCTCGGAGCAGGTCCCTGGAGCTCCCTCTGCAAGGACAGGCACTAGATGGCGCAGGACGATCACAGCCAGATGCATCTCGCAGGGTTGGAAGCCTCCTGCACACTGCAGACCTGGATGTCCAGCACAGCAGGGACCCTCTAACCTCTCCCCCTTAGCACGGGGGCACCACTTTGGGGTTTGTGAGGCCAAGGGACAAATTCATGGCCACCTCAGCGCACGGGGCAGTCCTAAGTCCCATCAGCTCAATGCTGGTGCGATGGCCGAAGGGCATAGACCAGAGCTAGCAGAAAGATCTAACAACTACCTGGCTGATGCCACCAAGACAGACCAAACACCAGCCAGAGGATTGAGGATTCCCAAACAGAGACATGCCAAGCTCTGGCTGCAGCTCTTTGCTGCAGGCACAAGGGACTGGACTTCCCCAGTCACACTAAGCTGTTCTCTTGGGTGCAGTCAAGCCCAGCATGAGGCTCAGCTTCACACACAGCACCAAGAGGTGCTCAGTGGGGTGAAGTGGCACAGGGGCAGAAGCTCTTACTTCACAGAATGGCTGAGGTTGGAAGAGACCTCTAGAGATCATCTAGTCCAACCCCCTGCTCAAGCAGGGACATCCAGAGCACATGGCACAGGGCGGCATCCAGGTGGGTTTTGAAGACCTCCAGAGAAGGAGCCTCCACAGCCTCCCTGGGCAGCCTGTTCCAGGGCTCTGTGAGGAAGTTCCTCCTCACGTGGAGATGGAACTGCCTGGGTTTCAACTTATACCCGTACTTCGTTTGCTCTTGTCCTTATTGAGGATCTGCCGCAGTTCCTGCTCCTGCTGCCCAGGCTCTGCCTCACGGTGCGGGGACTCCATGGTCACCTGCGGAACCAAAAAGAGCAATATTAGCACCAATGTAACCCCATGGAGCACGAGGCCCCTCTTGAGCCTCGCAGTCTGATGGAGCACAACTGAAACAGGCCGTCGTGTCACTTTTGGAAAGCTCATGGGCAGCCCTGGCCGACAAGAACATGTGAAGCTGTTTCATTGCAGCAAGCTGGACGTGTCTTTGCCTACAGAGACACTCTCCCCAGAGACATTTTAAAACTAGACACAGTCTATTCTGACTCACTGCTTTTCATGGTATTTTGGCATATGTGAAACATTATAATAGGGTTAAAATAGTCATGTCTAACTAATAAAGGGGAGATAAAAGTTATGCTATTAAAAGTCTGGGACTTGGTGTTTTTCAGAGCTGACATTTTTCAGAAACAATCCCAGCTCAGAGCAAGGCCAGAAAGCATTCACATCTGCACCGATGTCTTGAAGCACCCAACGTTTATAGCACCTGGACGTCTCCAACTCTCCTTGCGCAGCCCAAGCTGGGATTCCCTCACGGGAAGCCTCAGAGCATCTCCAGTGGGTTCCCCACACCTTGCAGCCAAGACTGGTGTGACCGCTGAGCTGGGGGATCCCAAGCTGGACTTCTCCTCCCAAAGGTGGGACGTGCTGGGGCTGCATTCAGGCTCTAGAGGGAAATGGGAACTGCGGACTCTTAGCAAATGTAATGACAGCACCAAACCAGGCCTGTGCTTGGAGATGGCCCAAACTTGCCTGGCCACAGGCCCCAGCAGCCTGGGCTATCTCTGAGGCTGGTGGTGCTCTGAACAGGGCGAGTGGAGTGGAAGCCTCCAGAGCTGTCGCCCATTCTCAGTCTCACTGTGATTTTGAGATGTTTGGCAGCAGAGGAGATGCACAGGGTGCTATTCTGGGCACCGCTAGGAAATTGCAGTTAAGGCTTCCCAGAAAGCAAATGAGCCCGTCAAGTGAGTAACTCGTGTCTTTAGGGCAGAGAAGCAGCGGAGGAGGAGATGAGTGGCGGTCCAGAGACACCAGGCATCCTGTACAGTCACTCTGGCTCCTAATGCAACGTGTGGAGCAGGGCGGAAAACACTGCTGTGCTCCACACATCCCAGGAGGGCCCTGCTCTCCTGCGGGCCTTGGCACAACGGCAGCTAGGGTGGAAAATAACGCATGAAAACGCCACTACTTGGCTTCCTAACCAGGCTCCTGACGTCAGAGAGCAATCCAGGATGGCTACGGGTGACTATGGATGGCCACGCTGGGAAGCGAGGGACAGGGACAGGGAGATGGTGGTGGCCACAGCATGGAAACACCCAACGGAGCAAATGCTGCTTCTATCTTGCCACCCAGTACGACGCTAAGACAAACGCAGCATTCACTGGTGCAGGGTGTAACGTGAGCGAGGCTGGCGAGTTCTGCTCCCGCCTCGAGCCCCCGCAGGCGGAGCAGGGGCCGGGCCGGGGGGCTGCGGGGCGTCCGCACCCTCACGTGCTGCTGGGCGAGCTGCTCCACTTGCTGCTGGTGCAGGCTGGCCAGGAAGAGCTGGTGCTGCAGCTGCTGCGTGTGCTTCAGCGCCAGCAAGGCGGTGTCGGAGCCGGGCTTGACGACGCGCTGCCCGATGCGCAGGTCCATGGGGGCGGCCTGGGGCACCCGCGGCGAGGTGCAGGGCTTCACAGCAGCTGTCAAGACACAAGGAGGCCAGAGCTCAAGGATCCCTCCTCGTGGCAAGTCTCACCATGCAACACGGTCTCCTGCACGGAGCAGGGCCCTCTCTGCGACCCGGAACCTGCCCTATGTCCCCTGAGGAAGCAGCACCCCGGGCATGTCCGGTCTGATGAAGACTTTGGCCTTCATCAGCATGGCAGAGATCCCCAATTCTGCCCAGCCCGGCCTCCAAGGGGGCACTGCTCCCTGACAGCGAGGCTGGGAATCCCTCGGCTGCCTCTGGACTGTCCCGTGTGGCCTGGACGCGCTGCCTTCCCACCGGAGGAGACCCGTCCTCAGCACGGGGACACCTCAAACACCCCGTGGTGACCGGCGGCTTTCAGCACCCAAACCTTGCTGAACTTCTCCTGCACGCACCACGGACCAGGGCAAAGCAGGGCGGGTTCCCAAGAGCCACAAGCCGTTGGCTTGCCAGGAAAGGCTGCAATTTGCGGAGAAAAGCCCCCGAATCCCCTCTGTGGCACATCAGCACTGCCAGGCGGGTCCCCTCAGCTGCATTTGCAGCCAGGTACTTCCTCACGGCCCATTCTGCCCTGCAGGAAGGGGTCCCAAGGGAGCACGCTGCCCCCATCCTCATTATAAAGCAGCAATTACAGAGCACACAGAGAGAACGTCGAGAGCAGCATCAGCTCAATATAAGGCTCTGCCAAAGCAACCCAAGGCAAGGGAGAGGCTGCAAGGAAACATCCCCAGCTCCAGCATCTGAGCATCTCAAGGGACTTTCTCAGTCGCCACCAGCCAAGAATCACTGTCCTGCTGTGCACCGTGAAGAGCTGGGACACATAGAGGACTACGGGTGTCAGGACCAAACTTTAGACCTTTCCTTCTCTTCCTGCTAGGGATACCAAAACACCAGGGAAGTGGGAAGAGCTGTTTAAGCAGAAGGGTTATTCAGAGGAGAAAGTGGAGGCACGTGGAGGAAGGGAGCAGCCCGACTGCCCAGAGAAGGACCAAGAAGGTCTTGAGAGCAACCAAGCGCATCAGCAGCAGCCGCTTACACCTGGGGTGTCAATGGAACCGCGAGGAGCAGAGGGCGAGGAGCGGACGGTGGCAGCGGGGCCGTGAGAGCCCTGCAAGCGTCTCCACCACCACCGCCGGAGTCTCCTGGAAAACAAGCTCGGAAGAGAAGGGGCGGGAGGGGCCGGGCCGGCGCGGCCGCGTGCCAGCATCCACACAAACAAGTCCTCGCCGCTCGCCCAGCGCCAGGAAAAAGCCCGTCGAGCGTCTCCGCAGCCAAGAGGCACCGGTGAGAGGGAGAGCCGCGGCGGCCGGAGGCTGCGCGGACCCTCCTGCGGGGAGAGGGCTGCGGAGCCAGGGCGGGCAGCGAGCTGGGAATGCGTCCCGGGAAGCTCGGGGAGCCCCACGGGCCACGCGCCCCGTCCCACCCGTGGCAGCCGCTCCGCGTCCTCGCGCGGAGCCTCGCGGCGCCGGGAGCCGCTCGCTGCCGCCGGCACCTCCTGCCGCAGCCTGAGCTCATCCGGGGCTCCGTGCGGGGCCCGGCGCCAGGGGGTACGGCAAAGAGCCCCCCGCACCTCCCGTGCTCGCGCACGGGCCGGGCCAGCTGCTCCTCTTGCCCTCTGGGCCAGAGCAGAGCCCCGCGACGGCTCCGAGGGGCTGCAGGTGCCCAGGAGGGCGGCTCTTTCCCTGGCCCCTGCTCCCGCTCTTTCCCTGGCCCCCGTTCCCGCCGGCTGCTCCACAGGCTGTTTTTCTGGGTCACCCCGTTCACGCACCTTCCTGGTGCGGCATGGGGAAGATGCTCGCGCCCGCAGGAAAGCTCCATTCCCGCGGGAAGGCGGTTTCCCAAGCGCCGCGGAGCCAGTTGCACAAGCTGCCGCGCACCTGGAGAGGCAGCGGGAAGCGGAGGCTGCAGCAGAGCCAGCGTGAGCGGGAGCTCCAGCTCTTCCCAATGCGGAGCAGGAGCTCCGGCTCTTCCCAGTGTAGAGCGGGAGCTCCAGTCTTCCCGACACAGAGCGGGAGCTCCGGCTCTTCCCGACATGGAGCGGGAGCTCCAGCTCTTGCCAGTGCGGAGCGGCAGCTCCGGCTCTCCCCGACGTGGAGCAGAAGGATCAAAAGCTCCCGGGATGCCGGCAGGCCTGGCCTCCTCCTCGGCACAGGGCCAAGGGCAGACCCGCCGTGCGCGCGCTCCGAGGCAGCGTGGGGAGCGACGCGGGGCAAACCCTTGGGCAAAACCCCAACGTTCAGGACGTGGCGGTGTGAAAACACGAGCCGGGGCAGCAGGAGGCCGGGGAACACGAGCACCGAGGAGGCCCCAAGCGCGTCACGGCATGGAGCCCGAGAGGACGCAGCTGCCGCGCGCACGCGGCACGGCCCGGAGGGAAGCGCCGGGCTCCTTCCCGCGCCAAGCGCCCGCCGAGCGGCCCTTTGCAGAACTCGTGCAACGGGGCACGTCCCGAAGGCCCCAAGGAGCTGCATGAGAACCGCAGTTTTCAGCACACGCCATGATTTTCCCCTCTTGGCTGTCGTGCGGGTGGGTTGAAGCCTCGGCGTGTTTTTGGAAAGTGATTTCCCATCTTGGGTCGATTAAAAGGTTCCCGGTTGGGTCGGGTGGAGGAACACGGGTGATTAGAACCATGTCCCGGCGCCGCAAGCAGAAAGGTTGTCCTCAGAGCCGCGCACAGGGAGCACAGCTTAGCCCGAGGGGGCTGTGCAAATGAGAAAGAAACCACACGAAAAGGGCTCTGCTGAAATACCGCAACGTTGGGAACGGGGAAATAGGAAATCCCAGAGCCGGGAGACCTCCCGTAACCCCCGTTGGCCCCTCGGGCACACGCGCCAAGCGGCTTGTCCTAATCAGGGCAGCGAGCGCTCTGCTCCCCTTCGGGTTAAAGCAGAACAGCAAAGGCTGCTGCTGCCTCCAGTGCAGCGGGACGTGCCGGGATGCGCCGGCACATGGCATGTTTGGGAGCGGGCGGTTGCCAAACGCTGATGGCTCCTCACCGAGCACATTGGACTGGGAGTTTCGAGGGCTTGAGGAACTGGCCAGATGTGGGGAGGTCTCACTGCTCCCTAGCAGGCATCAAATTCCTGCTACAAAACCAGAAGAAACGCTCGGGTCGGCGTGTAGGAAATGCCCCAAAGAGCTTTTTCCGCAAGGCTAAAACCATGTTTTTAGTTTAGTTCCTGAAAAAAAAGCCTTTGTTTTCCCAGAAAGTTTCCAAAAAATTAAATTGGAGGCACCAAATGATGCAAGTTTCACAAAGCAGCATGCAGATTATAGAATTCTTTCTTCAAATAAAGCGAGGAACCAGGACTTGAGCCAGTACCCCTGAATCCACCCAGACGAAATACATTCACCTGTGGACGACGATGCAGATCTTTTGAGCATCTGAGACCGGACGAAACTCAGCACAACTCGGTAAATCAGCTCCACGTCAGGCCTAGGGAGAGGAGCAGGGTGAGTCTGCAGAGATACCTCCCCTCGTTACTCTGGTTGGTTATTCGTGGCTCGGGACCTTTAGCTCAACGAGGCTCCCAAAGGGCCTCCGAGGTGCCGTGGGCTCCTTTACCGAAAGGCCCAGGGCCAATTTCATGGCAGGGATCCCAGCAGACTCCTGGAGTGACTGGGGAGATGCTGGATGCAGAAGCCCATGGGTTCTGGTGGTGATGGTGACCACCAGGCTGATGAGAAGCCGTGTTTGAGGAACAGATGGGTGGTGAGAGACCTTGGCAAGAGCTATCGCTAACTCAGCTACCACCTTTAGGCCTGAGTAGGGACCTTTTCTCTCCTTCCTGGGGACAAGGTGACAAGGCATCAGCAGAAGTCCCCATGACAGAATTCTCCTTTCTGAGACTCCCCTTTCACACGGGCAATGCAGAAGACCTCACCACCTTCTCAACCTGCATCTCAACCCGCTCACCAACACAGGTGTTCCCACCACAGCTCATCAGAGACACGGGCTCGCTCTAAGCATGACAGGAGCATCTACAGCTCCATGAGCAGAAGAATATGGACTAGAAGCCCTTCAGGACTAAGTAATATGCTCATCCTTGCTGCTTAAGCATGGAAGAGGTCCAGCTACATCCGCTGGGAAACAGGGATGCTTCCTTGAGCATGGAGACGCCTTGGTTGCCCAGGTCTGTGCGCGGGCCCTGCGCGGGCTGCCCTGCAGTGGGGTTGCCGATGCTCACAGGTGTGTTTTGGTTGAGGGCAGCTTTTCAAAGCACGCTCAGATCCACATCTTCAGCTTGGCCTCCAAAGTGTTTTGCCCAGAGGCCAAATCTGGTCAAGAGGATCCCAAGGTAACCCCACATCGTACAAAACCACCTGGAAGCCAAAGCCTTAATATCAGAGGAGGGTTTTACTACGGGCTGCCAAGCAACTTCCTTGACGTGAATGAAGGGCTTCCTAGGAAGAAGTGTGCCAGGCACAGGGCTCGGCTCCCCGGACGCTGTCTCTCCTCCAGCGAGGAACTCTGCAAGCTTCCCGTGCACCCTACCACGTACCTGCAGAGGAAGAGCAGCTCCGGAAAGAACTGCACAGGAAAATGCACCAAAGAGCTGGAGGATAAATCCCCACGAGGACACGTGTGGGGTCACCTGGTTAGGAGGACCTACTGGTATCGAGGCACGGATGGGCATCAGCTGGAACGGACTGTGTGAGCGGGTGGCTGTACGGGGCAGGACAGGACGAGGAGCAGGGGGCACTGAGGGGCCCATGTCCTGCAAGTGCAGCCTGGCCAGTGGGTCTGGCAGAGCTGGAGCCCTGCAGCAGTCATTCCCTGCAAGCCCTTGTCCTCCTCGCGCTCCCAGCAGCCGGGAAGCCCGTGGCAAGAGCAGCACGGGGCTCCCGGGGGCAGCCACCGGGTGCAGGAGTGCACGGTATCCCAAGGGAATACCGTGCAACCACCCCCATTTCCTCTCCAGCCCAGGGAAACTCGGGACCAAAAGGCTGTGACGAGATGCATCCCAGGAAGAGATGCATCCCAGATTTTCA